TCCCAAATGGTGCATTTTCAAACTTATTTGAACAACGTAGAAAATGCTCATATTTGTTCAATTAAAGAGGGGGGGAAATAAAAAGGGAAGAAAAACTGATTCTAGTTTAGACATTCCATTGATGAAGTTATATATTTTGAGAGAAATGGATATGATATAAAGGAACACTCTTTTAGTGGATTTAACTGATATATCAAACAAAATGGAACTTAGAATTACTCAGTACTCACCTTCAACTTTGAAAACTGGTCAGCCAAGGATAGCTCCTGATGGACCAGGTCAATCAATCTATGAAAAGTTAATTGAAAAGGCATAATATAAGAGATTCAGAATTAATACGACATCAATCAAGTTGCATAAAGGCATTCAAGTAATAATAAATAAAGAGCTAATCACAAAATCTTGAAAGGGTGAAAAGCATTAATATAAAAACAAACTATCAGAACTGTCTGTAAGAAACTCCAAAGTGATATTCCTGGATAACATTAAAACACTCAACAATAAAATTTCTTTCAAAGAATGTATCACAATATCAAACATCAGGGTTTCATCAAAAAATCCTAATGCAGCTGCAAAAATTCTTTTTACTTCTATGGAAGTCTTCTTTAAATTATCTGAAATTTCATGATAGGGTTCTTAACAGAATTCAAAATTCTTCACTCAGAATAATAGCACTCAATAATTCCTTTCAAAACTGGAAGTATTAAATTTAAGCGATAAACTTTATATTGTTAAAAACCGTTTGGAGACAATGGCCAAAATCTTCAAGTATAGAGGGACCAAATATAAATATTTAAAAAAGTCATGAATTCTCAACACTCAACGGATAAAATTTTAAGTGACGAACAAAAGAAATAGGGGAGAAAGAGCATTACAGATAAAGGTCAATATCTTCGATATTTATTAAAGCACCATTAAGAGCCATCAAGGACTTGCCAGGAGGGATCATTCTCTGGTTTGCAAGTATCTCTTCTTTAATTGAATCATTGAGCTGAAAAATGCATGAATTTGTATAAACTGATTAGAAAACCAAATTGGGCACCTTATTGTTGGAGCCTATATTATAAATATTACAGCTGCTAAAACACTGAGAGAGTCACCAAGAAGTTACCTTCATTCGAGATAAAGAAGACACTACACTAGGAAAATTTTGGTTGATTTCTTGCATCGACTGCAAAGGATCAGAGGCCTGTACTATTCTCTGTGCAGTTTGATGACCTAAATCTGTTCAAAGGGGAAATTTTTGGCAATTTGAAGACTAGACATTCATAACTAGAAGGAAAAAGAAAACCTTAACTAAACAGTACCTTTCAGTTCCCAAACATCAAGTGTGTCAGATATTGTTGATGACAAAAGATAATCCCTGAATGCCATTATCTCTGATGTAAGGTCAGGTTTGCGTCCCTGAAAAGGAGATGAAAGAAAATATTAACTTCAGGATGACATGGTTCACATTTCCCAGTTAGAAAACCATGACTAGTGTTGACTCCTCCCCAGAGTGGAAGGTTCAGTGCTTTAAGTTTATTCATATATGTCTATGTAACTAATGTTCCTTGAAACAGTTGTAACTTGTATGGGAAGAAAATAAGGAGAGAAAAAAAAGGAAAGGTGAATTATAGCGAACCAGAATTTTTGAAAATATAAACCCTCTAACTTCTTGGCTAAGATCTTCAGTATGAGGATCTTCTAGCGTTACACCTGCAATTCAAACTTCGAGTCCTTAGATACCTCAACCAAAGAAATAAAGCATGTGATTACAAGCAAACAAGCATACATGCTAAAATAAAACTTGCAGTTTTTTTCAGGATATTCATATTCGTAATAGAACAACTAGGCATTCCCAAGAAGTTGTACTACAATTGAGAACGATGAAGAAGAATGAGATGTATTCATAAGGAGAAAAACCTCAAAAAAGAAATAATAATAATATTAAAAGATTAAAGTACTAATCAAGGTTGAAAGTTTCCAAAAGCCATAGAGCAAACAAGTTAGAACACCAAGACAAAAGTGTCTGCATTAGAGAGAACATTATGATTATAGAAGATCCATATAAAGAAACCAAAAACATACTGCTACATCTGCCAAGGAAATATCACAATTGAATTCAAATGCAAAGATCCATAATGGCAATTGAAAAAAAATAATAGAAGATAAACACATAATACATAGAAGCCTTGGAAAAAGTAAAGAAAAAATACATGGTAAAATAAACCTATTGACCAAATTGATACAAAGGTCAACAAAAAAGGGTGGCTTTTGAATTTGCAACTGCTCCAGTAAGAGTGCTAACCTTTCTTTACGGTACTGTCATCCATGGCCTTATACTCCATATTCTTCAAAGCAAGCTCTACACCATACCCGCCCAAGTTTAAGGAATCCATTGCACCAACAGCCCCACATGGGCCAACTTCTCCTTCACAGCCAGAAGGTAATACTGGTCTGACAACATACTTAACTTTTCCCTGGACATAAAATTAGAAGTAAATCAAATAATTTACAACAGAAATTGCACCAAAGAGAGTGTTATCATAATCCTTAGAACAGATGAAAGGAAGCATCAAACAGGAAAGAACTGTATGCACGTAGTATTCTGACAGACCAGTAAACAAAGCATATAAATGAATCAATTAGATAATATTGTGTCAGCTCAAAACCAATGATGAAGGTTCCCACTAAGCACTAGATGGATCTCAAATAAGTTATTAATTCCAACAAGAGGTCTAGCTTATTTTGATTGCAATAGGTGCTCTACTTCATCAGATCCTTGCCAATTAATATGTGATTAAATATTGTTCATAAAGCAAAAAAAGGACAGGAATTATCATTATAGTAAAAATCAAATATGTTATCTGGTTTTATGAGTAAAGGAAAATGTAAAGAATGAGACGGCGAGAAATTCAACTGCTCCAAACAGACCTCTTTGGCAGCTTGAACAAGGGTAAGATGGAACTCCCTAAAACATTCTGTTCCAAGGGCGCCATACAGAATAGCAACAGGGCTCATGAGATTTGAGTCAAAATGAACGTGATCAAATTCATATAACTCAGGCTGCTGAAAGGAGTCTCCACTGCTGGCAACCAAAAAATGGAAGTAACAAGTATTCAATCATAAGCAATTTTTGGCCATTTCCAACTTAAAAAGATGTAAGGTGTTATTTAAAACTAAAACACACATATAGAGAAACATTACATTTCATTAGGTCCCTGAAGCCAAGACTGCAGTTCTGCAACATCAAAGAACAATTCCTCACCAATGTCCACCCAACAACATTTTCCATGAGGACTTTTCGGGTTTATGCCAACAAGCAAGGGGCCCAACTTTTTAGTTCCAACATCTTTACTAGCATCAACCTCGCTCACATTATGTGAATAACCATCATCAGACAGCGGAAAAGAAGAAAGAGACTCCTCCGCTAGTTGCCGGTAAAGCACCAATCGAGGGGATGCCGATCTTAGAGTCAAGGAGAATTCAAACAACGATGCCAACGACTCACTTAAAAGAGAGCTGCCATGTTTCAAAATCTTTACAAGGCAATCTTTAGCTGAATGAGAATCACCCTCGGTTTTTGCAACACGTAGCCAGCCATCAATGAACTCCCAAAAAAGATTTTTCGACTCTTTAGACAGTAATTCACTGTAACAATCAGAAAATCATAAAAAAATACAGATGCAGAATAGCTTAAGGAAACTAAACAAGCACTAAAGATCACACCAAGAGAAAAAATTTAATACAAATATGAACAAATAAATGAAATCCACAACAAGAGAATCATAAACAGAACAAACCCAAAATTAAAGCGATAATAAGGAGAAAGGGAACCGACCCGGCTTCCAAGAGCAATGGAGTACGCGACCATTTAGCCCGAATCGCAACTTGAACGTTCTTCGGCCTTTGATTTTGAGCTCCAACAAAAGCGAAACCGCAAATTAATAAACAAGTGAGGAGGAACAAAATGCGAAAGCGAGATCTGAAAGGTGTATCCATTTGGGTAAAATGAAAGTATATATTTCCCCAATCGAATTTCTATATGATTTCAAATGGAATTAGATCCGACATTGATGAGTAACTTAGAGATCGGGCTTTAGGGAGAAATAAGTGAAAGAGAGACGACTGTTAGCGAAGACTTCCGGGAAATAAATATCAAAGAGGGCAAAGGGTTTTATTAGCGATTTTTTCGTCTTTGCATGAAAAGATCAAAAGTATTTTAGGAAAAGGAATAATTTCGTTTCTCATCACCATCAATTTTGTAAAAATCGGGTCCAAAGTTAAATCGATCAGACCTTTTATTTTTGGGGTAAAGTATACAGATATTTCTCAGATTATAAGATATTATTTGGTAAGATCCTCGATTATTAAAAATTATATAATAGTCTCTTGCTTATATAGTATTATTTTATTGAGTTTTTAACTATTAAAAATTATAAAATGGTCAACTCAAATATTTTGAGATCATATTTTATCATAACTTAATAAAACGTCCAGCTCAGACAATTACTAATTTTTAACAGAAAATGATAAGTTTGGAACATATGAATAGTCAGTGACCATTTTGTAACTTTTAATAATCGAGAAACTCAACAAAACAACACTCTATAATCATGTCACTATTTTGTAACTTTTAATAGTTAAAATTATTTTTGTACTTTAATGTATTTTAATTTTAAGGGTAAAATATATAAATAATCTTCAAACTTTTAGGACATTTACATTTTGGTCACCCAACTTTTAAAACTTTTAAATCATTTTCAGTAAAATTCCTGACGTTACCTCCCGTTAGTTTTATCTAACGTGACAGCTAACTCCGTTAACCCACGTCATTAACTTTGTTAACCCTCCTCCCCTCCTCCTTGGGCTTAAACCCGTAGCAATTAAAAAATAAAGCAGGGAATCAATACGCGTTCTCTTCTTCTTCTTCTTCAAGAGCTTAAGCCCATCGTAATTAAAAAATAAAACAGGGAATCAATCCACGTTCGGGGATTGAACCTTCTCCTAATGCTTCCATGGATTTGTTTATTGGGGGGCATGATGCATTTTTACAATTTCAGAATCAAAAGCTTGTACAAAAGCTAGAGGCTCAGAAGGTTGAGTATTCTACTCTTGAGAACAAGTTCATTCAACTGACGGGGAAACAAAATGTATTAAAGAGTATTCTACAAAAGCTTGATATTGCAGTTTTACACTCTTCCAAAGGATGTTTCACGAGGAATCCTCTTTTGCTAAGTAATGATCATATTGTTGGACAATAGAGACACTGAAATAAGTTTTTTCATAGAATCATGAAAGACAAACTGAATCAAATCTTTCTACAAAAAGTTTTGTTTTTGGTGTCAACCTTGAAAACTACTTTAATCGCTCATTGTAGAGATGAAAAAGTGTGATGAAAAGAGAAATTTGGAAAAAGTGTCATGGAATCCCGAAGAAGATCGTAAGTTAATAGCTTATATAACTAGATATGGGATTTGGAACTGGTCACATATGACCAAACCAGCAGGTAATCAAGCAAAAAAAAAGCTTGAAAATAACCAATCCCATATAGAGAAACTGACGTTTCTAGCTATTAATTTACACTTATATTAAGTATTTTTTGTAGTTTTTTTTTTTGAGTTGTAGGATTGCAAAGGTTAGGGAAGAGTTGCAGACTTCAGTGGGTGAATTATCTAAGGCCCGGGCTTAAGCATGGGAATTTCACTAGGGAAGAAGTGGATACCATATTTGATTTGCATCAAAAGCTTGGAAATCGGTAAGTGTCGAATACTTGTAAAAGGTATTTGATTTGTTTCATGTAATGAAAGATAAATGATGTCGGGTTTTGTGGTGAATTTTGCATATGGTCAGTGATTGCATCAAGGTTGCTTATAGCTTAGAAAAAGCTCTTATATATTTTATTTCTCCTTCAGTTGAATGAACTTGTTCTCAAGAGTAGAATACTCAACCTTCTGAGCCTCTAGCTTTTGTACAAGCTTTTGATTCTGAAATTGTAAAATTGTAGTAGCAAACTGCATCATACCAAAAAAATAAAAACAAATGGATGGAAGCATTATGAGAACGTTCAATCCCCGAACATGTATTGATTCCCTGTTTTATTTTTTAATTACGATGGGCTTAAGCTCTTGAAGAAGAAGAAGAAGAAGAAGAAGGGGTTAACGGAGTTAACTGCCACGTTTGATAAAATTAACCGGAGGTAAAGTCAGGGACCTTACTGAAAATGTTCTAAAAGTTCAGTGACTATATTGCAAGTTTTAAAAGTTATGTGACCAAAATGAAAGTTCCCTAAAATTTTGGGGACTATTTATATACTTTACCCTAATTTTAATTTATATAGTTAAAATTAAATCTAAAAGTTGTAAAAAATATAATAAAAAATCAATTAACTAGAATATAAAGATGAGGGATTAAATTGTAAAAATAATAAATTTATCATTAAAAATAGGAGCTGAAGTTACATATATATTCTATAGTTTTATTAGAGTATGTGATTCAAGTTTGTTCAAAATATACTTAAAATGATTGAAGAATTAGTCGTAGAAGGAATTAAGGATGAGTATCCGAATTAAAATTTTTCAAGTTATTTGAAGTGAGGAGTCATATTTTATTATTTAAAATTTATTTGATTTTTTTTCAAATCAAATCGAATTTATAAAATTTGAGTCGGTGTTTTTAATTAAATCGAAATTTATTCACCTCTAATTAAAAATTTAACGTATGTTATATATTTTATGAAAAATGATTTATTTGTCACCACTAATAAATAGAATAATTACTCTATACTTTTTAAAGTTCAATAAATCATTTGTAATGTTACTAATAATTGAGAGATTTATGGTGTAATTTAACCAATTTATATTTTATTTAGCCTCCTCCCTCGTATAGAGGCTCTACCGAAGTGTTCAAAGATTCGATTTTTTGCTTACAAGCGTGGTTTTTTCCGATGAAGGTCCGACATTAAACGGTGTCACCTTAGAGGTCTCCTATGACGGAATGAGCGGAGGTTGTAGCGGCTTGGGATGATTACCAGTACGGGTGGAAACACTACCTCCTTGGTCTCCTACTTTGTTTGATCACTTGAACTTTGAGATTGCAGATTGCACTAATGTTGTTAACTTGTGGATTCAACACTCTCAAAAGAAAGCTTTATGTGTCTACCTCTACACCTTGTTTTAACAAGGTACTCTTTGGTCGGATCCAGGTCTCGACCCTGGCACAGAGGTTGGATCAGGTCGAACTACGTTGGATTCCCGGCGTCCAATCTTGTAATGTGTAGAGTAGAAGCAAGTATAGTCGAAGATGTGATATGAAAATCCGAAGCTGAGACCCCCTGTTTTGCATAAACCTTTGAAGTGTAGGTACCTATGCGTATAACAGGTTAAATGCTAAGGCTTATGAATATTAGCAGTATCCAGGGATTCAAATGCGGTTGTAATTTTAGGTGCGTGACGTTTATCGTGAATGCGTACATAACAATAAATACCTACCTACATCTCTAAGAAAACATATATAATCCAACTTGGAAATTCAAATGAGAAGTAAAGAAATTTTTTTTCACAACAAAATCAAATTTTATTAATAAAAGTAACCAGAAGTCAAAATTACCAAAAATTGCTTCAAAGAAGCTTAGAGGCTATCACAAACAGCATATAATAATCCAATCCAACACGAAATGAAACAAAGTACAAAGAAACGCCGTGATCTCACGACAATAAACACCAACTTAAAAACAATACAATTTACTACAAATCGCAAAAAAAAATCAGTCAAGTTCTACCATAGACAGTCAATAACTACAAACAGCGACGTCTAATTCTGATATTTCTCCCAATCCACACAAACGTCCACCATTGCATACTGTATAGATAGAGTGGTTAACTGAGATAAAATTTAGTCCTATCGGTACAAATACAGGTGATTCGATTACATGTATAAATATAACAATGTATTACTATTGATGCTGAATGGGAAGGTGATAGTTATAGGTATACTCTTTGAATTGGATGGAGAGTCGCAGTCGACGATCTGAGAAAAAGATTGAAGAAGACAATGAACAATGGATGTGTGGTTGAACCTCTCTTTCAACTTTGTTTGTGTGAATATATATGTTCCCGACACAAGAGAGTAGGGTGATTGGTATTAGTATTAGAGTTAGCTGCTATCGATGGATTAACAAGAGAGTAAATCTGACTGTTAGATAATTGATGTAGTTAACGATGGAATTGACAATTATCATGTCGATCAAATATAAAATATCTTAGAAAAAACTCCGAAAGTCTTGGGGGGTCGTTTGTGCGAAGGAATAGAAGCAGAAATATGCAGAGAAATGACAACAAAGTGTAATTTCGGGTATAACAATTACCTTAACCAGACTGGTGCAATAAACTATTCATCAAAATAGACTCTTCATACCCAACAAATCTATTGATGAGAAGCTGCTGCCACCTGCAGTAAGATGCTTCTTTATTGTATTTAGTCATAGCATTTAGATGGAGAACAAGCTGATAAAGCAGATGACATTAACACCCCAAAGAAAAGATGAAAATGGAAGCAGCAAATAGCAAAGTTCAACACATGCAAAACTGATAGCCGCTTCAGGGATCAAGAAATAACCCTGCAGGCCGCAGCAGTAGCATTATTTTTATCAATACAAGATATTAAACTTCAACACATGGCTGAGTATTTGCAACCAAAACTTGGCATCCAAGAACATCAACTGTATCTGCAACTTGTATATTTTTTCAGTTACAGTTTCTGGATCAGGATTATTTACAACAGTGGGTTCAGATTCACCTTCTGACCACAAATCAGCACTGGTTATCTACAATAAAGAAACAATTTTGAAGTCTAAGATGTAATAGTGTGATATTTAACTCAGCAATGTATGTTTTTTATCAAAGGAAAATGGAAAAAATAAGCTCTCGTTCTCTTGAAAATTTATGCAGAATCATATGTTTTTTTTTTTTTTTTCTAGTAGTCTGGGGTGATTATAATGTAGTATTTGTTTAGAATCTTTCTTAATCATTGATAACGCGTACATATACCTGCAAACACAGCTGCTTGAACCCATAATCTCTAGAAAGAACAACTAAGATGACTTGATGAATTCAGCATCATATGTTTTTGAAGAAGAAGCGATTGATGATAAAACCAAAACATAACTACTATGAAAAATAATAGTAAGGCTGTCGACTATGTATATTCCAGAGTGAAGTTGTTGAGTATATATAATATATCTCTAGGGAAATAATAAGGCTGTTGAAATTCATTACTGGATTAGAGAAAATTTTCTTGTGTTCTAAATTAAGAAGTATCCACACTTAACATTTGCGAGTATGAGAATACTGAAAAAATATGGTTTGATTGAAAGTGTTGATTACAAAGAAAAAGTTTGAGCCCTGCAAAATAATCTGAGAACTTTCTAGGATTTGCATCAACTACAAAGAGCTCTCAACATCGTATTCTCATATACACATGTACTTGATTATCGATAAATTTATTATATTAGATATCACATTTAATTTGTTTCAGAAAAAGAAAAAAATTCAAACTTCGGTTATAAACCTTTTCAGTTGTAACAGTTTTTATTTCCATTACATGTATTGCGATGCAAGCCTTTTGTTTTCTTACTTTGGAACAGGAAACATAGTAAGATCGTGTCCCGCCAGGAAGTGGCAGACTTCGGAGTCCCCCGCCTTGACCCCAAAAAGACGGAATGCGACATGACCGGGCCTCCATGTCGATGTATCCATGTGACACAGAAACACCAAGTCTACCATCTCACCATTCTCACCTCCCAGGTAAACCTTGAACACTTCGCTCTCTGCTCCCAATTGGAAATGACAGTAGTGCACAGGATAAGGATACAGCTCGTTATGGCACGGTACGATATCTCCGGTCGATATAGCTGTGAACTCGAATATGGTGTAGTTTTGGACAAGGGGAGTCGACCGGTTCGAAAGTAGAGACGATCTTAGAATTTCGACTTTGGAGTCTGATCCTAAGATGCCTCGTGCAAAATCAGCTACTGACTCTATATTGGTCACACAGCCTCCGACCTCTCCTTCTTTGGGTTGCTTCTCGCAAACCTCAAGTGTTTGTCTCATCGCCAAGGCTTGCTTCAAGTCCAGTGAGAAGGTGAAGAACAAGAGAAGCTCAGGGATTGCCTCGGACGAGAAGCGAATGTGTTGGATTGTTTCTTTAGGGAAGAATTGAAAAGAAGTTGGATCTTTTATGTAGGGGAAGTAGATTGGCATTGTTTTCCCAACAACAAGATCTTTGATGAAGGCGAACACTTGGACTGCAGGGTCAATGGGTTCATCCATGCTAACGGCCCAGCCGCCGCTGGACGATGAACCATGTCCGTTGTTTTCTCCACCGATATGGTTACCATCGGAATCCATGCTGCAGAGTCATAGAACATCGACTCGATTAGAGGTTACACCAGGAGCGTGCTGCTAAAAAATTGAATCGTGATAGTATTAGAAACGACATATACAAAATTTTAGACGACGAAAATAAATCATAAATAAAAAATATTTAAATTAAATGTACCTATTAGCCTCGTTCGATCTATATCTGATATCAGAAACACTTTACCTTACGAGTTCGCAAGTGTTAGAAATCAAAACAATGTAACAAAACGTGGCAAATGGAGATGGATTCACAAGTAAATTCCATGTAACAAAATAATGTGGAAATACTATGTGTCGTAATCGATTTTCGCCCGACACGACGTTTCTTGGCGGAAAAACAAGTGAATAAGTGGTTTTCAACGAAATGTTTTAGGAGTCACCATCGACCTTTTGGGTTAGGTAGGTCGAATACCTAAAAATTGTCTTTTAAAAGAGTTTTTAAGAAAACATCATTTTAAAAGATAAACTAGTCTACGTATAACCAGAAATTCATTATTTTTAGTAATAAAAAGGGATTCGTGATCGGTTATGCTTGGGGAAGGATTAACACCCCACAATGCCCAAAATTGGTACCCATCGATTGTAAATTGTCTCTAGTAATAGAAATCTAAGTAATCGAATATAAATTTAATTTACGATCCTATTTTTCCAAATTCAATTGCATAATTTTATTTAAAGAGAATTCTAAGGAAAAATATAAAATATTTCAATATTTCCAATCAAATAGAAAATAATCCCTAAATTACTTTGGGACGAATATTTCTCTTTCCAACTGAAATAATAAGAATATAATTTTTTCCAAGAATAATTTGATTCAACCAAATTAAATAACTTAAATAGGCATATTCTATTTTTGAGGAGGTATTTATTTATTTTGAAATATCAGAATAGAACATCTAGTTACTTTAAGACAGTCATTTCTTAATATTTAAAAAATAAATAAATATTGTCCTTTTAATCAAATTATGAAATTAGTCAAATTATACATATGAGTCTTTCATATATATTTATGTGACTAAAATAAAAATAAAAAAAATTAAAACTATATGATTAAATTAAAAGGCAATAAAACTTTATGGTCAAAAATGAAATTAACGTATCAGGGATTAAATCTGGTATTTTACCTAATATATATATATAAACAAGGCTAATGACTAAAAAGAAATAAAATAAAATGCGAATACCAAATTAAAATATGCGAAAACATACTTTCAGGGATTGAATTATAAGGTTTACAAATTATAGGAACCACATGTGTAATTTACCCATGCACAAAATTACACAGAGGTCCCTCCCTTAAACAACATCATTTCAGGAGGGTATAAATACTTTTTTTTAGATCGTTAGGGTCAAATTTCTTATTTTTCATTTAGAGAGAGAAGCTCTCCATTCTCTCTAAAATTCCATCGCTGGAGGGAAACTGGCCACTGGCCAGCATCCGTATTCCCTCACCGACAGCAGCTGCCGGCCACTGCCCACGGTGGCAAAAATTTACAAAATTACCCCAAAATAATCCTTTTTAACCCTAAAACCAAATATAACCTCTATTCTTCCTAAAAAAAACCCCATATGCAGTAGATCTATGCTTTTTTTACCTTCGATGTTTTGGTTCTCCAATGGTGCGTGGATACTCCGACGACCGGGTAAATCTTTTCTCCTTTCTTCCTTTTGGTTTTGTTGTTGGCTGTTGTGGGTTGCTCTCTCTGTTTTTTGTTTTTTGTTTTTTTTGTGTGCCTTTTCTCTTGTAGGTTCGGTGGCCTTTTATAGGCCACCATGGTGCTCATCTCGGACCGGTTAATAAAGTGGCCCTCGGTGAGTCACCGGAGCTACGGTGGTGACTCGCCATAGGGTTGTGAGGTGTGCGACCATCATTGCTTCTTCTGGAGTCTTATGTGGAGGCGGCGGTGGCAACAGTTGGAATGACATGTAGAGGCGACGGTCGGAATAGACCCTAGGGTTGTAATGAAACCCTAGGGTTTCTGCTGTAATCATCGATGGTGACTGGAGAAAATGATGAAACCCTAATCGGGTTTGAATCGTCTGGGCTTGGACCGGGTCTGTTGCTTCTGGGCCTAGACCGAGTCTTCACTTGTAAATAGGCCTCGAGTTTTGTAATAAAATTATTATTTATTATTTAATAATAATAATAATAAATAAAACGGGACAAAAACTATTGTCTATAGCTGCCCCTTTTTGCTCATTCTTGTGTTAATAAAAATAGGACAAAGACGAAAAAATAATAAATTTTTGTCTAATTGACTTCTCTTTAAGACAAAAATTGTAACATCCTCAATACCGGGTTAGTGATCAAATTGTAAATTTTCAGAATTTGGTGACTAGAGTAGAACCATGGATTAGTTCAATGATTTATTTGGAAATAAATCATAAAAGTTGTTGGTAATTATTAAATGAAGTAAAGGGTAAAATGGTCAATTGACAAGGAAATATATTTTCTCCCCTTTATTAAGAGATTAACACGTGGGGGAGAGGAAGATGAAAACTATCTTCTTTTTCAATTGCTTTCTTCTTCTCCAACGTGCCCAAGCTAGGCAAAGGTGAGTTTCTTTATTTGTTGATTATTAGCTGAAATTTAAGGTTGAGTTTTGATTATTAGGTGATAATTAAGCATAAGAAGAGCTTAAATTATCTTGAAACAATAAGATGAAGAGAATAGAGGGGATTAAAGAAAAGAGAAGAATAAGTGAAATATTAAAAGAGGGTTCTTTAATGAGGTTTTAGAGTGAATTTGACTTGTCATCAATCTAATTAACATGTATGAAGTATTAGAATTGGATTTGTAACATGTTAAAATCTGGGTATGATTCTTGAATTTCTTAAGGAGAATAGGATATGGAGGTTAAAGAAGTGATTATTGAGTAGAAAGGAGGGAAAATATGTATATATAAGTAAGGAATATGAAAGGGGATGAAATATGAAGCATTTGAGTTGAATTAAATGGATTTTCGGGCTTAAAATGCAAATTCTGGGCAAGGTGTATCGATGCACATTGAATGTGCATCGATGCACTCTTTAAAGAAGAAACATCGAATGCAAATGGTGTATCGATGTATAAGGAGAGCATCGATGCATCCATTTAAAATGAAAACATCGAAGGTAATTTGTGTATCGATGCATGGGTAGTGCATCGATGCACATGTTAAAGAATGCATCGATGCACTGTAGCATGCATCGATGCACTTCAAGGGGAAATTGAAATAGACATTTCTTCTGGTCTAAGAAATGATAGATTAAATTATAACAATGAGATACTGATATGTATCAATGTATAATTATGTAGATATCGAACACGAACAAGTTCCGGGTTGTGTATCAAGTTAAGATTCGATCGAAAGAGAGGAAATCATAAAGTGGATTGAAACTTAGTGAGGCCAATGTGAGTGCACATTATTTATATGATGTTAAATGGAAAATAAGACTTGATAAATCTATTTCCAATAGTAAAATGCATGATTCATAGAGGTATGTGTTGTTATGATTTATATGTGTGCATGAGTATATGTGTTATTGATATGATTCTCTGATCATAGGATGTAAACTACGTCATAAGTGACTATATGAAATTATATGAGAACAAGTGATGACAATGATTTACATGTCATGAAAACCAGAGAAGTGTTATAAGTAAAGTGACATATATGTGATAAATGAATGATATGAAAAGTGAGATAAACAAAGTATGGTTGATATAGGGTAATATAAGAATAGCTCATACGTTATATGATAAATATGGAACCATATAGGAACATTAATTGAGTACTTGATAATAAGTCATAAGGTTATATGCATAGGTAATATAAGTTATAAGATGAGAATATATAGGAATATCAAATAAGTTATGAGATAAGTTATATGACATTGATATATAAGCTAGATGAAAGTATACACATGAATACATATATAAGTTTATATGTTATTTTATATGCTAAGGGATATACCCATGAACATATATGATGTGATATATGTTATGAGAAATGACCCATGTGACTAAGTGTGAATTGATATAAGTATGTGATATGAAGTTATGGGTATATGTGTCATATGTTATTATATGTGACATGATATATATGAGTTTATGCGATATAAAAGTGTATATGTGAAATAACATGATAGGTGATAAAACCGTGAGCCTATATGATTATGTGTTATACGTTACATGATATGACATGCGAGTTACATGAACAAATGAGAAATGGTATAAGTCATATGAAACGATCTACGTGAATACATGCACTTGTGATACATATGATATGATATGAGATATATGGTTACACATACATGTGGTATGTGACAGAAAAGAAATAACAAGTGATATGAAATGTTATAAATGATAATGCCCATGTTATGTGATATGAGAGCTAGGGGTATAGTTGGCATGCCAAGAGTCGAGGGTTTACCTATGTCTTTCAAGACATATGAACAGTTTACCTAGGTTCTTCGGGACCTATGGATAGTTGCCGAGGTTCTTTATGACCTCTGGATAGTTGCCGGGGTCTTTGTAACCTCTGGATAGGTCCTTCGGGACATTTATACGAGCTGTGGTGACAGTATAGTGGTGCATAACCTCAATAGACTCACGTATCTACAGTTCTCACATGCGTACCATGGGCTAATAAAGAGATAATATTAATAAATTGGATATGATGATATGTTTGTTTCCTTATGAAAGGTTATGTGTGATATGATGGTACAAATGGTAATTATAAGATTATATGATAAAAGGAATCAATGATAGTGATAAGAATGAAGATGATGATATAGTTGCTTGTGTGTTTGATTTACGATAGGATATATGTTTTACATGACATGATATATATATATATATATATATGTTATATGGTATACGTGAGTACATGTTAAGGTATATGTGAATGAGTATAATTGATTGACATGATGATATAATAACAAGTCTATCCGATATATAATATGGACATAAAAGATCATAGGAACAAGAGATAAGAGATATGAAT